GTGGTGACAGCTTTTTTAGATCCCGGCCTGCCTATATAAACAGGACAGTTCGCTGCTGGCAGGCCAGGCAGCAACATAACCTGGCTGCTAGGTGGAATACAACATCCTGGAGGTAAGGGCAGGAGCTGTAGGAGATGATTTGGAGGCTCCTGGTCCTGGGCATGACCTAAAACTGTACCTGCTGGGAGTGGGTGGCCTGGTGGAGCTGTCAGTGGTGTGGGAGCCCCCAGGAAATGCCAGGCCAGTTATTACCCCAGTGAAAGATGGGTAGGGGTGCCTTAACCCCAGCCCTTACCTTCGGGTGGGTCATATACCATCAGAGCAGGGAAGGCCAGGTAAGCTTCAGGAGGTGCCTGAGCCTGCTGGGGGAGTAACCCCGCAGGGCCAGGCATGCTTCCAGAAGCATCTGAGCCGGGAATGGGGGACCCCAATCCCTAAGTGCAAGCAGGAGGCATAAACCCAACCGAGGGACTCGACTGGTTAATGCTGGGGCCAGGACCAGAAGGGTCAAAAGGGCCAGGAGCCCACTGTGAGGGATGCCCATGATAAACAAAGAAGCTTGGGGTCTCAACTGGCCTGAGATGAGGCCGGGGCTTATATGGAAGCCAAAGTTCCCATGAGTGGGGCCACACCTAATGGGTGAAGGGGATGGTTGAGTCAACTGCCTGAGATGCCATGTGCGAGGCTTGGGCCACGGTGCAGGAGTGGAATGGAGCTGCAGATAGTCCCCCCCCCCCCCCAATATCGGGGTGTAAAATGGGCAGCATCGTGTCTTAATTAACAATTTAATTAATTGCAACAAGGCATGGCAGGCGAGACAGATGGGTGGCATGCCCAGAGGCAGGTGGGAAACTAGCTCTGTGGCTAGTCAGGGACCCCTACTCTGCCACACTATATATTACTGTTTGTGTTGTAATGAATCAAGGTGACTAATTGACATTTCTTTTCTAACTTCTTCATCTGCAAGGAAACCCAATTTTCTGAGAGAGAGAGGGCACAAGCAAACATACTGACCAAAAATTGTAGCCATCTCTTATTACCAGAAGTTTGGAATACTTTGAAGATATGAAGTATGGAAGCTTATGTCACTGTGTTCTCTTACCTGTATATTTTACACCATTTTTGGAGCAACACAAAGCTGCTGGAAAATTTTGGCCAGTTAAGATGGGTTTACAGTTATTTTGCAAAGCCAGAGCAGTACAAAGCAGCAAGGATTATCTCCACTAGCTCCTTCCAACTCTATTTAATCTTGCAAAAAAGCACACAAAACCCCTCTTCCACATTCCTCTTCTTGAGCACTTGTCTCCATATTGCTTTGGACTTCTGCACTCCCATAATATTCCCTGGTGTATACACAAGCATTTCCCTTCCTATTTGTTACCCCTTCATTCTGCCTCCTTGTTGCATGTGAACACAGGTGTATACAAACCTAATTTCTCCCTCTTCTGGCCCTTCCTTCAAAGCATAGGCCATAGCATATTTTTAAAATAAATATCTAGGTGCACAACTGTGCAGATACTATGCTAGATCCAAATGAGTTATCCATATAGCACAGTGCAGTGTTGGGCAGAAATACTAGCTCAAGTCATGGACGCAGTATAGCTGTATCAACTTCTTGGGACAGGTAGTTTATTTGATGTATTGCTTATGGTTCTCCAATTAGGGGAAGCTTTGAGAGGAGATGGTGGTCATCCAGGCAGTCACCAGCAGGCAAATTGCTAATGGAAGCCTGTTGTTTTGTTTCTTGAATGAAAGAGAAAACACCAGCCATACTGGAAAAAGGTGTGTTTTGGGTGGAATTAATTCTCAGAAATACAGTTGCCCCCCATTTCTATAGAAGAAATTTTGGTTATGACAAATCACAAAAAATACCCCCCCACCCCATATAGCTGAATTACAAGATTTAAGCAAGCTTTAATTATATCTATGTTCATATTCAAGACCAAGGTCTGTCCCAAACTCAGGTGGCTTATCAAGTTAGCTTGGATAATTCATACCAGTATCTGTAGCCAAAGCATACAGTTGTCAGAATAACGTCCATCCGTTTGGTTCCCAAGCCTAATGACCATGTACCTGCTCATTCCAGT